CATCTCTTAGTAGACATTTGCAAAAGTACTCTTAGGAATGGCTTGTGAATCACTGTTGACTTGATCTACTATTAACAACTAGAGGCCCGGTACACGAAAATTTGTGCACTGCCCCCTGCCGGCTGGTTGTTCTGCCGTTCAAACACTTATGATAGTATAGGGTGAAATGTTACAGGGGGTGGTATTGGATAGTAGTGATGTAGACAAGGATGAACAGGCTGCTCTAAGGCAATTCTCTATTGGTGTCTGTGTTTCTGCACTTACTGTACTTTGTTCTGGACTATCTTTTCAAGGATGTTTGTATAGGGAATAGCCATGGAAGACAGATACTGTCTTCCTCCCAAGGAAAGAGCAAGTTTGATTACAGCTCATTATAAAAAAGGGGGCGATCCCTAAGCTCAGAGTGCTGGTATTGCAACCCATTGCTTCTATATGGATGCATCGGGCCTGTACACATAGCTGCTTTTAAGATTCTGTCTTTGACCTTTTGCATTTTAATTATGATGTGTCTTGGTTTGGGCCTCTTTTGGTTCATCTTGTTTGGGACTCTGCGCTATCTGGACTCATATGTCTATGTCCTTCACCAGGATAGGAAAGTTTTCTGTTATTTTTTTAAAATAGGTTTTCAATTTATCGCTCTTTCTCTTCTTTTGGCACCCCTATGATGTGAATGAATATTGGTAAGCTTGACGTTGTCCTAGAGCAGCGGTTCTCAACCTGTGGGTCGCGACCCCTTTGGGGGTCGAACGGCCCTTTCACAGGGGTTGCCAAGACCATCGGAAAACACATATATAATTACAGTTTTTGTGATTAATCACTATGCTTTAATTATGTTCAATTTGTAACAATGTAATTGGGGGTCACCACACCATGAGGAACTGTATTAAAGGGTCGTGGCATTAGGAAGGTTGAGAACCACTGTCCTAGAGGATCATTATACTATCCTTGTTTTTTTTTCTTCTTTTTGCTATCCTGATTGGGTGTTTTTTATCCCTTATATTCCAAATTGCTGATTTGATTCTCAGCTTCATCTACTCTACTGTTGATTCCCTGTAAGTTATTTTTTATTTCAGTTAGTATATCCTTAATTTCTGACTGGTCTTTTTTTATGATGTTGATGTTCTCGCTAAGTTCATTGAGCATCCTTATAATCAATGTTTTGAATTCTGCATCTAGCAGATTGCATGTCTCCATTTTGTTTAGTTCTTTGTCTGAAATTCTGTTCTGTTCTCTCATTTGGGACATGTTTCTTTGTCTCTTTATTTTGGCAGTCTCTGTGTGTTTCTTTCTGTATATTAGGTAGAACTGCTGTGTCTCCCATGCTTGGTAGATTGGCCTAATATAGTAGGTGTTCTGTAGGGTCCAATGGCACAAGCCTCTCCAATCACTAAGCTGGCATTCAAGCTGTACCCTCCTCCCATGTGGTCTGTGTACACCCTCCTCTTGTAGTTGAACCTTGGTTGCTGTTGGCACATCAGTGGGAGGTATTTATCCCCAGGCTCATCAACTTCAAGGACTGGCTGCAATACCAACCACTTTGGAGGATCAGCTGTGCAGGGGCCCCCACTCCACAGGGCAGGACTTATTTCAGTAGGGCTCTGGTGTCAGCTGCGTTTGCCCCTTGAGTGTGTCACTTATGTGGATGGTTGGGTGGTAATGCCTTGACATGGTTTAAAGCTCTCCACTTGTGCTGGCTCTGGGGCCTCCTGGGAGGTGCAGGCCAAGGTCAGCTGCTGCCTCTGTTTTGCCTGGGGTCACCCAGCATGAGCTACAAAGCGATCTGCAGGTGGCTGCTACTTTTGCTGGGTTTGGAGATACCCAAGCGACTCCAAGGCCACCTGCTGTGACCCTAAGAACAGCAGGTCAAGGCATGCTGAGGCTATATGCTGCTTGTTTTATAGATTTTAGGAAAATCTGAAGCATGAACCAAGACCAGCCATTTGTATGGAAAAGGCCTGGAAACAGCTTGGGTGGACCTGAAAGTTGGGAGGGGTAGGTCCTCAGGAATTCTCCAGGATGGGGTGAACACTTTGAGCCACATTTATGGTGTCTCAGATATGTTGCCCACGTGCTGGCTCTGTAGGGAGAAGGCTCATCAAATGAACACTGGCCTCTTCCAGAACTTCTGTCTGGGAGAAAGCTGTCCTTCCTCACCCCCAGCTCTTGCCCTAATGCCAGACTATTCAGTTTCTCCTCATATGTCTCTATTGTCTTTCAAACTGCTTCCCCCGTGGTGGCGCTGAGAGGGAGTAAGTCTGTGTACAGTCCCTTTAAAAGGAATTGCATGGGACTCCATCAGACCTTCATCTCCCTCAGCCTCAATCCCTGTTGGTTTTTACAGCTGGAAGTTATGGGGACTTCTTTTCCTTGCACTGGAATCCTGGGATAGGGGACCTGGTATGGGCCTGGGACCCCTCACTTCTTAAGGGGGACTTCCACAGCTAAAATAGCTCTGCCAGTTTTTATCTGCCACACATGGGTGTGGGACCAGCACGTTTTGCATCTCCATTCCTCCTACTAGTCTCATTGTGGCTGCTTCTTTAATTCCCTAGTTGTAGGATTACCATTCAGCCAGATTTCAGGCAGTTCTGAATGGTGGTTGTTCTGTAGTTGTAATTTTCATGTGGTTGTGGGAGAAGGCAAGTGCCCATTTACTTGTGCCACCATCTTGCTGGAAGTTGCCACATACCACTTTTTAAAAGGCAGAAAATTTATATAATCTGAAGAGAAATCAGAGTATCACACACCACTTTTTAATACACTTATTTTGGTAGGCAGAGACATTAGTTTTGTTATTTACACTCCTTTGTAGTCACAGCATCCTATCTAATAAAAGAGAAACATGGTAATTAGCCGTACATCCGCTAGCCTTCCCATTGGCTAATCAGGGCGATATGCAAATTAACTGCCAGCCAAGATGGCGGCTGGCAGCCAGGCAGCTTGAAGCGAACATGAGGCTTGCTTGCTTCAGTGATGGAGGACTCCAATGTTCCCCGCCTGCCGCTGCCGGCCTCTGAGCTTGCAGTTTGAAACATTGTTACAAATATAGAAGCTAAACAAAACCCCAGAAACCTGCTTTTAGCCAGCGGGGATCTCAGAGCTGGAGTTGAAACAGTGTTTCGATTATAGAACCCAAACAAACCAGATACCTGGTTTCAGCAGCGGAGGCCTCAGAGCTGGAGCCAAGGCCCAGAATAAAAAAAAAAAGAGCAGTTGGGAGCTTCAGTCACCCGCCAGCCTGAAAACAGCCCTTAGCCCCTCACCCAGACTGGCCAGGCCCCCCATTGGGGACCCCCACCCTGAAGGGGGTGTGACCAGC